AGCATCATAAGAGGATAATTCCAAGGTATCACAATGCCACACACACTAAATTATACAAATCAAATAATTCTAATACACAGTAATCCATACCCAATAGGTTCCCTTTTAGATATTGAAAGGTTCCTGCTAGGTCTTGCATGATTAATTGGTATGGTTTTACCCTAAAATAATCAATCATTAATAAAAATGATGATGATCATAATAATAGTATACCTGAATCTTGTCACACCAGCTAGCAAAGTAACGAAGACTATCAATAGAGAATCCAATGTGAGTCTTGAGGGCTAATGTATACACAGCTCCTGAATCTAAGCTCTCTAATGTGGCCAATTCTTCTTTATGCTCTTCCATTAAATCAGCTAATCTGTACAGTATCAGTATCCATTATACATAGACTTCATTAGTGACTCACTTGTACATCAGTGCACCTCTATCACGAGCATTCATCTTACCCCATTCTCCTTCTTCAAATGCATACTATACACAAAAAAGGAGATATACACATATTAAATGATTGGTTTAATACTTTAGCTGCTTTGACTGCTGTGTTAACATCATCTACAGAAGCAGACTCAACTTTACAAATGACCTACACACACAAACACTCATTTATTATCATTGTATACATTAGTAATGACATACTGTTTCATCAGTAGGATTAACACAATCATAATCCTTTCCCCATGATGAGTTGATAAACTCTCCATTAACAAACAACTGGTTGGGAAATTGTAGTGTCCTTCCATTAGCTTCAATAGTTACCTAACACAGAAACACAATCAGCACAAAGAAAAATACTAGTCTTACTGGCTCATACTCAAACTTAGACGCTTGGCCACCTCCTCTGCTCCTAATTACAACTTCAGTCACAAACTCAGTAAACCTATTTTTAGTATAAAACTAGCATAAATTATTAACATTCATTCACTTTGGACTCATATAAACATTATCATTATCCATCGACACATCACAGAGGTCTTTTACTTCTTCAATTAACCTTGAGAATGATGAAATCAGATATACATGCAGAGTTTTATAGAGTTTCCCACAAAGCATGCTAAGTGAGCTAAAAAGCATGCTTCATGAGCAATAGTGCATATGGCATTTGAAGCTTTAAAATTCATAAAAGATCCAAATTTGATCAGAATCAGCTTAAACGTTCATACAACATGAGGACATGTACATAAGAATAAAGAATTCTATCCTAGTCAATTTTTGCTAAATTTTTGCCAAAGACCCTGTGGTACAAGGTGTTTGGCCAGATTTTTGAGCAGCTTTAAAAATTCATAGAAAATCCAAACTTGATCAGAATTAGCTCAAAGTTGATATACAACATAAGAATATGCATATGTATCAGAAAAATTATAAAAATGGAGAATTGCAATTTTTGTCTTAATTAATACCCTTTACTCTAGCCGCTTTGTTTTTTGAGCAACTTAACAATTCACTGACAAGAAGCTACATGAGCATGATGCCAAAATCCTATAAATAAACCCTGCATACATACCTTGTGACATCCATTGATGAAGCACCTGCTGCAAAGAAATCTGTCTGATCCTCTACTATAGAAAGGCTGAGTATACTAGACCATATACCCTAATATAGAAAGATAAAGAGAGAAAAAGAAAGGGAGTAGAGCGTTGATATATTGCAATTATAGTGAGCTGCTATTGATCTGACCACATACTATCAGTATAATTTAACTGGGCCAAACTGTGATGAACTATGGCCTGCTATACAAACAATGAAATGGCTATCTTAATTCCTTGTAATGCATGCATCAAATGATCTGAAGATAATAATGATCCAAAACTATAAAACAAGTTATTTAGTATGACTCCATTTAGCCTGTTAAACTGTGCATCTGACAAAATCAAAACGATTTAAATGGCTAACCCTCAATTTCTCTTGTAATGCTTCTTCTTCAGGACTCAATTCTAATTTCTCCACTTTCTCTTCTCTCCCCCATTTATTGGCAGGTATCATACGACCATCTTCCAACTGAAGTTGTGTTACTCTTATTTTCTTTCCATCAGATCCATACATCACTAAACCATTCTGTGTTATGACAGCTGGTTGAGCTAATCCTTCTATCTCAATCTCTCTACCAGTAACTGGCTCTCTGTCATCAACAAACACTGAACCATACAGTGTCACTTTCTATAAATTGTAATAATAGTAAATTTACAATTGATGTAGAGTCCTTACTTGTTTGTCAATCATGGTCCATGCACCAGGGACCTGCATGTAAAAAATAAATCAAAATTAAAATTAGAATTAATGTATCATACTTTGTCGGATCCACGAATAAAATTATGCAGTTCAAGTGCTGTTGTATTCCAGTTAATCTGTTAAAAGACATGTTTAAAATTAATTGAAAATAAATTATGTGCAGTACCTTGGCAACATCCTTTTTCTGCCACAATTGATCATACGTGGCACCCCCTTCCCATTGGACAATACGTGGAGCTTTACCATCTTCAATGAGTTTAACTGCTTCACCCTATTATCATAAAAATAATATTTTCTGCTTTAATAAGGACCATTATAATACTAACCATGGCTCTAATGCCTTCAGGAAAAAGGAACCTATTATACAGTGTGTCTACCGTATCATTTATATCAACAGTACAAGATCTCTGAAGTAAGATTGGTCCAGTGTCAAGGCCATCGTCTGCCCAGAAGATAGTGAATCCAGCTGTAGAATCACCTTCCATTAGTGTCCAGTTAATAGCTGATGCTCCTCTATGTTTCGGTAGAATAGACGGATGATATATAATGGATCCCTCCTCTGCTCCATCAATGACTTCCATAGGTATGAACTGAGTACAGAATGGTAGCACGTTAAGAGTAGCTTTTACACTTTTATACTTCTCATACACATCAGGTAGTAATTGACCTATCCCAGGATTCATGTGAAAACTACAAATTATTACTGTAGGCTAACCTTTCAATCTCCATCTTGGTATCTTAAATACAGGAGTTCCATCTTTCTCAGCTTGAGCTGCCAGTGGGTCAGGTCTACAATTGTTGTCTGGTACCGTAAACACACCAACAACATTCTTTCCCTGTCTCCTCAACAGACTGTACACCTCTTGACCAAACACAGACTGGCCTATGATAGCTATACGGAGCTCTTTAGCGAGAGAAGGACTCGTTGAAAAGAGTCTGGGTGACTGCAGGCATGATCTAGCAGCAACAGTAGCAGAGAATCTAGCAAGAGACAGAACAAAAGACATGTTTTCCGCAGTATGGGTGGGCCAAATTCTGACACACCTTCACAAATTCCATACTCATTCCGGTCTCCATGTTTATTTTGGATCCCAAACTAAAGAATTTTGGATCCAGGTTTGTGGCTCCGATAAACATCACCATAGCAACAGAGACACACCTACCAATGGCTGCTGTCGTTACCTCTACCTCTCCTGCAGCTTATCCTCGGATAATGTCGCCTTCTGTCCCACAAGCCACTCTCAGAGAGCCTCCTTCTCGAATGACGCTTCACCATAGCTCAAAATTTAAGGAAGAAAGAGCGCCTGAGGAGGAGGAGGACCACAACATATATGCTATTGCAGCAAGTCCAGTTCCAGTTGCAGAGGAACCGACTGGGGTTAGGCAGGTAGCTGAGACAACAACAAGGGAGAATAGCAAGCCGAGTTGCTGTCGCAAGATCATACACCAATTTGAAAAAGAGCACACCTTTCGTCCTAAACTCAACCCGTCCTCTCTGAAGATAGTTGGTCAAAGACAGCATCAGCCACTCTTGTCGAGACTGAGTGAAGCCAAAAGAGCTCAAGGAAACAATGCTCACTCTTACTTTGATGAGAACCTTACATTTTCCCCAAAGCTAAACTCGCTGAGTATTAAATTGGCACAAGAGAGAGCTGGTAAATTGCATGAGGTCCAGTCAAAAGCTTCTGCTCTAGCTGCTATCAGAATAGCAGAAATCCATTCAGAATACACATTCAAGCCTGCCGTACTGGGACGAAGCATACGTATAGCTGAGAAACTTGATATGGGATTCTTGGGTAGGCAACAACAGCATATTGCAAGAAAGCAACAACTGGTATGAGGCATGAATTAACATTTAATTTGTCATTGTGTAACTGTGTGTTTGAATCTGCTTCTAAAAGTATGCGTGCATATACATGTAATCATGCAAGTCTAATAATTATCGTATATCGGTTTATTTTTGTGGTAAAATATTTTCGTGAATATTACATTTTTTGCTCAATCATGAAAAGTTGAATTGCAAAATTCTGTATCTCCATTGCCACGCAGTGCAGTTTGCAAGCTATTCACAAAAAAATTATTCCGCAAAATCTTAGAAATGCAGGATTTGCGAAAAAGTTTTATCACGAAAATAACCCGGTATACAGTACAAATTGCCAATTATGTATGATTAATTTCAATCATGTGTTAGAAATATGCTATAAAATAAAAATTGCTAAATCAATTACAAATGGTTTAAGATAATGTTTTAAATTATTATTTTTTCTGTAGGCTGCTCAGGAGTATATATTACCTCCACAGAAACCCCCACCCTACAAACTAACACCACGTCTCAAACCAAATAACGCCAACCAAATAACATTATCTACTCCTCCTGTTGTAAAATCTCAACAATTCTCTCATAAATTATCTCGGAGAAGGCACAGAAGTCAAACAGCTCCGTGTCTCCCTGTGTCTGAGCTCAAACCAAACAAACCTGTTCTGTTGTTAAGGCAGGAATCAGACAGAGGAAAGAAACTACTAAAGTCTCCAAAGAACAAGTCTGTTGAAGAGAGTCCAGGTTTGCTACAAAAGAACTTTAAACAGCTTAATGAGGGGGATCGTGTGAAAAGGATTAAAGTGCAAGCAGAAAAAGCCATCAGAGTAAGTGTCACTAATTTTACAGCTCTCTAATTGCCTTATTTGCCTTCCCTTTCAATGTTATATTGATGTACTGTCATTTTTTGTTGCTGGAATTATCGTTGTCCATAGAAATTTATTTATTTGTAGGCAAAGAAAGTTTTCCAAATTAAGGGAGGCTATCAAACAATTCGTAAAGCTCTCAGAAGTAGAGGGTGGGTTGAGAACTGCTATCATTGTGATTACAAGACAAATATTCCGCCATCAAAGAAACCGACGATTGTCAGCCCTGGCAGTAATGATGATGATGATGATGTCTATGACAGTAGTGATGATTGTGACAGCAGTGACAGTGAGAGTGAAGATGAGAAAGAAGACGATGAGGAATACATGATGCTGGTAAGTAGTTTTTATGGTGCAGTGCGGCGGCAAATGTTTTAAAGCATAGGTGTTAGTGTTATTATCGACTTTACATGTACATGTACGAAATTGCGCAGATGTCGAGGGTTACTGGAGGCAGAGTAGAGGTTTCTAATCTATCAACTATCATGGAGTGTATATATCCAGTAACATGAAACAGCTGTAGTTTATCTGGTTGTACTATAGTGTGTGGGTGTATGAAAGACACAGTTGTCTATCTACTGGGACACTTTTAACTACCCCTCCTGTAGTCTCCATTACATGTATATAAACTTGTTGCGGTGCCTTTGATACACGCTCACACTATAGTACAAAGATACTTGGATGTAGATGTGTACTGCATGTACATGTACAAATGATTGTTTAAAATGTTAATAATTGTTTTGTATTTTTCTCTTTTTTATTTTCCCTTGTTGCTGACTTTCTCAATCTTTTATGTGTAATTTCAGTCGTAGTTTATTTTTTTCTGATTCTTTAGTGCAGGGCTGTTAGAAACTGTGAACCTCATTTCATCTGGTCTTTAAGGAGAGTTGATGTGCATCATCAGTACCTTAAGAAAGATCAAATGGTCAATCACTTCTCAGGAGCTATGTTCACAACTAAAGTACATACACTGTATTTACATTTGTACATGTACATGTACCTTTACAGTACATGTACCTTTACAGTACATTGTACATGTATGTGTACATGTACATGTATAATGAAATTAATAGAACTGTTAATTCTTTCTGTAGTTTGGGCTTTGTGAAAATCTTCATGACCTCCCATGGTATGGTGATGTTGATGCAGACACATTCTTCCCTCGGTGCTATCAACTAAACAACGATGAAGATAAAAGGGCATTCAAAGGTACATATGTACATGTACATACATTGTACAGTATAATTATTATTATATTGTGTTTATTAATAATGTTATACACAGAGGACTATCAACTTACCGCTGCCTTTAATGTACTGAAGATTATAGCCTGTGAGAATAACCCTTTGCTCTACTCTCACTATGGTTCAGTGTCAATGGTTGACGAGAGACCTCGTGTCATTATTTCATCATCTAATGAGTCAGTAAAGCCATCTAGTACCTCAGAAACTCTCACCACTTCATCTTCAAGCGCATCTATTTCAGCCCCCGCAACTCCTTGTGATAAAAGAACTCAAGATGGTGACAGAAACTGTATGTCCTCTTCACCAAAGAAGAGACTATCGCCAGTTGTACCTGAGGAGTTGTTGCTGCTGTCTATCAGAGAGACAGAATCGTTTTTATCAAGACTTGATCATGAAGATATTGAAGGATCAAAAACGCAACTCGTATGTGCTCACCTCTCTTTCTCTTTTCTTTCATCCAACCTCTTCTTGTTATTGTCTACTTTGCTTTCTCCTTTTTCATAATTTTCTCATTTTCTCTCCATCTCTTAATTACTCCCTTACTATATAGGAATCCTCTAAACTCACTCAAGAAGAATGGTGCCAGTTATTGGCTTACTACTATAGCCTCATATTGTAAGTATTATACTGTACATGAGATCAGTTAAGTGGCTCTGTGTACAGTTGTATATGGAGCTAATGGGATGGGATGCATGCACTCCATTTATTACATTCTTGTAGTTGCAATGGTGTCCTGTTTTGCTCAAAGTCAGATGCAATCAGAGCCGAAGAGCTTCTACTACAAGTATGCATACTGGCATATACATGTGCATGTATGTATTATGTGTGTATTAATGCATACATGTATTATTATAGCTGAAGAAACATTATCCTCAGTTATCAATTGATGGCTCTAGAAATATATGGATCATAAAACCTGGTGCTATGTCAAGAGGACGTGGTATGAATTACATTGTATTGTGTTATAAGTACATGTACATGTAGATTGTACATGTTGATACATGTATATACCGTATAGCCGCTTAATTTTGAGGGTACAAATTTCGTTGTTTTCGCGGATTTTCTGTATCCACAAAAGTTAATTCCATAAAATTATCCGTATTGCCCATAAACACTTGTGCTTTAAAATAAGAACCGTGAAAGTTAATTCGCAAAAAAAGACTCGTGGCCTGATTCACTAAAGTTTATTGCCTCGAAACTTTGTGACTATACGGTATTCTTATTTTTACATGTACATGTACATTATACATCTAAATTGTATATGTACATATACTATAATTAAAATGTTTTAAAAGGTATAATATGCAAAGATCACTTACACGATATCCTTGACTTTGTCAGTCCCTCAATTTTGATGAAAAAGAACATGTGGGTTGTCCAGAAGTACATTGGTAAGCATAAAAGGAATAGTATAAATAGACCTAGCTTTTACATTTTGCTTACTTATTACACAGAGCGCCCACTCCTTATATATGCAACTAAGTTTGACATACGCCAGTGGTTTCTTGTGACTGATTGGAACCCACTAACAATGTGGATGTACAAGGACTGCTACTTACGTTTCTCAACTCAGCTTTACAGCCTTCAAAAACTGGACACGTACATAATACTTCATACAGTAAATGATTGATATTAATTTCTCATTTTAGGAGCATTCATTTGTGTAACAATTCTGTGCAAAAACACTTGACCAATTCAGAAGAAAGGAGTGAAAACCTCCCTCAGGATAATATGTGGGATAGCAATACTTTTCAATCTTATTTAAAGTAACAAAAATGATCTATATAGTGCCTATGAGAGCCTCTGCCTCTGTGTGTGTGTGCTAGGAGTATTGGTGAGGGAGACAAATGGAGAAAAGTGATTTATCCAGGAATGAAGCAAGCTATTATTAGTGTATTGCAAGTGTCACAGGACAGAGTCATTGACAGAAAGGTATTAGAATTCATTATCGTATATTACTTTATTGCCAATCATCGCTCAGAATACATTTGAGTTATATGGAGCTGATTTTATGATTTGTGCCAACTACAAGCCATGGCTGGTGAGATCACTATTAGTAACATTTTTATACTTTAGTGCTAATATTGTTTGATTTAATTATTGTGTGAACTCTAAGGAGGCGTGAAACTCCTATATAATTATCAAATGCTCTGTCATAATAGTAATACTATTGTTATTTTTAATGATATTGTTTTATGTCCATAGATTGAGATTAACTCTAGTCCAACTATGGAGAAGAGTACAGCAGTCACTAAAAAGCTGTGCAAACAAGTGATGGAAGACACCATAAAAGGTATTGTAATCCAATAAGTCTAGTCTTATTTCCTTTCCTTATAAACTCTAGTTGTGATAGATCGTAAGAATAACAGAGATTGTGATATCGGTGCCTTTGAGCTAGCTTACAAACAGGTACGTCCAGTACGTGTCATGTAGCACAGTAATTATAGTAAAGGAGTGTCACTGAGCTAGTAAAATACTACAAATGCATCTATTGAGGTGCCCGTAGGGAGAAAATTCCTTCTCAGAATTAAAATAATTACTGCCTTTCATCAAGTTTACTACGCTACATGTACATGTGCATGCACGTACATGTACATGTGCACATACATGTACATGTATGATCTTTTGCTGTTCATTAGGCAAAGCTTGATGTACCTCCTTACATTGGCTTGCAGTTGACAGTTGAAGGTTCGGCTATTAAAGGTGTGCCAGCAAGCAGATCGTGGAGAGGAAGACAAACGGCAACAACTGTACCTATTATTTTCGGTCAACAATAATTATTTTTTCCAACTCAACATTACTTTATTTATTTTGTTCATGAATCTTATTTTCTTTTTTTTTAACTAAAATAATAACGAGCCACTCCTTCAAAGCACAATGTCTACTTTGTTTCTGGCCTTGTTAGCTGTGTCTAGCTTGTCACGTGAGTTTTTAACTAGCTGCCAGTAGTTTATGCATTCTTCTCGTGTGTAGACTGCTTGTCTGTGCCTGCTGCACCTCCTCAGCCTTCAGCTCCTCGTGATGTAATAAGCCTCACATTCTTGGTCTGTGTGAATGATACTTGGGGCAACTGCATCACAACTGTTAAAACACCTCCCATTAAACCCAACACACCATGGAACAAATCAGAAAATATAATGGTTGGTGATTGTGACCATGGACCACTACTTTATACAGTACAGCAGAATAAAGGTGATTATTGTGCTGCCGAGTCCTGTACTTTACATGCAAATCCAATTTTTTTCATGGCAAAGAAAAGCAGATTATTTTTTTAAATTTGCTTGTATTTAAAAGTTATTCCACCCAGATATTATGCATGTATGCACAATAATGTGAGTATTTACGTGAAAAGTAGGTTTTCAATTACACACAAGTATTCACACAAATTAAAATAGTAGATTTATAGACAATTTCCATAATTATTATTTATATTAACTATTAGTTAATAATTAAAAGCAGGGTTCTGGGTATAATTGTAATTTAAGGGTCAATTAAAATTACAATTATGTAATTGTAATTGAGCTTCACCTTAGTCAGGTGAGGTCAAGCCCCACCTGACTACTTCAACCAGTGCTATTGTAATTTCAATTTTAATAGCTAACTACAACATACAGATACACAAAAATGTTCTTACGTATAGCGGGAAATTTTGGAATGACTAAATTTTGGCGAATTGCTAAATTTTTGTGATCGGTGAATTTTAATTTGGCAAATTTGTGGCCACGTGCCATTGAGCATGCGTATAATGGCTCAAAATGGCAGATTTCTATTTTGGCGAATGGCTATGCAATAGCAGATGATGAAAACAGCAATAAGAAAGGTAACAAAAGCATTAGCCTTTTAATATTCTACATTTAAGCAAAAATTAACAAATGAATTACCAAAATGTACAAGAATTTGGGAAACAAAATGTAAATGTGCATACACAAATATTTGCCAATACATACAAGTACATACTTGATATGTTTTATCCTAGTAAACACAAAAATTTCAGTACACGTGCAAATTTCCACCCATGCAATTTATGTAGCCTGGCTTGTAATCATGTGCTCAAGCAAATTATTGTTAATAAATCCACCACATCAAAAGGTAGTGATATGCAGCATATGAAACGCATAAAACTAGTTTATTATTCTACCACTACAGGTGGAGCAGACGTTGTTGTTACTTTCTACTCATCTGTAATTGAGGATGCATCACACCCTGAGTGTACCATTTCATGGGATTTTAATTATCTAGTACCAAAGCCAGGAGGCAAGTCGTATACAATATAATAACATAATATTAATTTTTAAAAATTTATTTTCAGATCAATCTAGCTCTTTGTTGCCTGGCTGCTTTGTGGCTGATTCACGTGAAGGATATCACATGACATATTATTGGTTTTATATTATTGATTGGTTTACTGGCTGAATGAAGCTATGCAATTGATCTGTTTCTTATAAAAATTTGATATTATTTCAACAAAGGCGTGGGTGTTATTTGTATGCGTGGGCGGGTTCAATTAGTAGTTTAGTACACGTGACACAGCAGACTCAGGAAACACAGAAATTCAGGATATAATAATGGAAGATTTTCAAAGGGAGCCTTGGTGAGTTGTAACTTGTTACACCTTAAAATGAGTGGGGGATGAACCATAAGTGTAGTGATACTATTTTAAATATCATTAAAAAAAGAATATTTCTGGGTGGTGTAATTAGACATGCCCCAGCCTAACCAAACCTACTTGTCACATCCTAGTGGGAGCTTTCACTACATGGACATGTTTGTGATATAAAATAATTGCTCTTGTAGTTTTACAATAATTACATTTATGCCCACATATATCATAACTATTATCTTTATCTGCCATTTTTATATGATTAGTACAGTACTACAGACGTCTGATTGAATGCTGCTCATATCTGATCCTTCCCACCCTCTCTTTCTATATCCCATGCAGTTTTTATTACTGCCTTTTATCTCTATTACCTTTACACATTTGCCCACATATTTCAATTTACAGTGGCAGCATGTTGGGGTTTTATCAGTACATGTACATGATGACCATACACCATGAAACAAAGTTTCATGGTGTATGATAGCCTTAAGATTAGCCATTCAGTTTGTGGTGAATAGTAAATTTCTTTTTGAGGAGCATTTATCCAATTTTGTATGGTATGACTTGACAACCATAATTCAGTTAGCTAATTTGGTTTTTTAATTTAGTGGAATGGCTTTGCATTGTAGTAGCATTATGATCATATTAATCTTCTCTCTTTCTCTAGTCCATGGCGTATACTAGAGGATTGTGGTGGAGCTTTTGCTATGGGTTGTATTGGTGGAGGAATATTCTCATTTTGGAAAGGCTACAAAACTTCACCACCTGTACGTTAATTGCATTATTTACATTATCAGTGTATCAACCTCATATCCTGTATGTGTGCATGTGACTCTGTGTGTATACATCTGGGCATGAAGTTATCTCCTATAGTTTAGACTCCATATGTCACTTCTAATGAGATTTTTATTGATTTACTTATTAGGGGAGCAAGTTGAAGGGTAGCATATCTGCTGTTAAGGCAAGAGCTCCAGTCCTTGGAGGTATGTGTTTACATTATATTGTGTGTACAACGCAGTACGTAATGTATCATTAGTGTGTAATTACATCGGATTATATGTGTAGGGGTGCCTTTGTATCAGTGTGTACATGCACACTCTTCTATATTGATGCTGCATGTGAATATTGTCCTTCTTGAGATATTTAATAAATTATTTTATTAATCTGTGGTATTGGTGTAATCCTTTAAGTGCTGACATCCTTAACCCCAAGTACATGTACTTATGTGGTCTCCATTCCTCTTTTGTAAACCAGCTTCCAACTTCTTGCTTGTAATGATTACATTATTATTATTATTATTTCTCATTCTCCTTTGCTTCTTGTCTCCTCTGTCTTCCCCTCTCTCTTTTTCTCTATTTTTAGGTAATTTTGCTGTCTGGTGTGGTCTATTCTCATCACTTGACTGTACTCTTATTGCTCTACGTAACAAAGAAGACCCTTGGAATTCTATAACCAGTGGAGCAATGACTGGTGCTATATTAGCTGCTAGAGGTTGGACTCATTTTGCATTCATGCACCTGTGCATTTTTGCATGCATGTCTGTGTGGTTACCTTAATGTGTTTTGTATAAACCTCTAGGTGGACTCAAGGCTTCATTGGGTGCTGCATTTGCTGGTAAGCACATTTTATCACATTATGTAGTATGGATATCATTAATTTGATTTTTGAGGTTCAGATACAACAACTGCTTTATTAGTGCATGACTTTGTGTTTCTTCAAGTATCCCATAGGACTATGCTCCCATAAGAAATACTAGCATATAGCGTTGAATGTATAATACCAGCCTGTTGTATAGAATAGACTGGCAGATGTCTTGAGGTATCTCTGATGTCCTCCCAGTTGTAGGTTTCAATTCACCTCTCAGTAGGTTTTTCCCATCTCTTTGAAGGTTTCCTTTGAAATATGAGTAACCATTATTATTACTTTTTAATATTAGTCGTAACCACATCGTCATTTGTTGAGTGTGCATTGCGTTATTCATTTCTTTTGACTGACTGGGTGTGTCTGTCATGCATGCGAATATGTATGTCTACTCAGTCGTAGTAGTTAAGGGAGACATAAAGGCAGCCACCACTTTGAAGTGTTTTACTCTCTTCCTCTCTAGGTGGATTAATATTAGCATTAATTGAAGGCGTCGGTATAGCCATGAACAGAGCTGCAGCTGATCAGTTTAAACCAGGTTATTACACTCTGCACACAACAGAAACAATACACTAGTTCTTGCTTAAGCATTGTTTTCTCAATTACTCTTGGTGTATATATGCACACATAAGCCCTTATATGCAGATAATGTCCTTTATTTAAGCTATTAATTGTTCGTTGTGTAGTTATGCCACAAGTACCAGAACCATCTCAACTGTCTCATAGCAACACAAGGAATTATCCCTCATAACCAACCACCAGACGTTATTATTACATTATTATTGTGTGTTGTATCATATTACCTCTTGGTCATGAATTGATATACTCTGTGGTATTCAAGAGGTTAGCTGAGGATTATGTATGAGGATGTGGATAGCCTATTACTGATATGCTTTCTCCAGCTGCTTCCTTACTTATGTAGGAGGTTATTTCTTATTTCATATAATGTGCTTGCACCCTTATGTGATGTGTGTAACAGTTTTGTAAATGGTGTATCTCCTCTTCCTGTTTGTTATTGCCGTTTATGGATAGGCTACTAAGTATCAGTTGTTAATGTCTTTATATGGTATTATAGTCTTAAGCAGCTGGGAAACTATGTACTGGCATGGTTTGTAGCCCTTTTGCTTGGTCTAGTGCCCGTAGTGAAATATCAAGGGGATCTCTGATAACCTTTGCGTGAAGGCTAATGACATTTGATACGCACTAATTGATATTTGAGTGTCACAACTTCCGTTTAATTTAACTCAATTCCCTCTGGGCATGAGCTTTTTCAATTTCTCCTTTATATTTTTGTTTCCCACTCCCTCTGTTTTTTACTACCTCCAGCTCTTTCATTCTTCATTTTCCCTCCCTGCCTCCCCCCCAGCGTCCCACCCTCCCCTCTCCCCCACCTCCTCTTCGTGTTAATAGAATTCTAAAGACACAAACATGTGTTAAACAGAATAGCTTCGTTGTGAAGGCTGCTGTTTGCGAAACAAGTATTTTTATGCTTAGTGTTAATTGTCAGTGTGTTTTGGTAGATGGATGTGTGCTAATTGAGCAATGCCCTCTCTCATGCCATTATGTGTAGAAATATTGACGTGTTTGCAAACAAACCTTGTAATTTATATAGAAAGAATAATGTTGCTATAGATAGCAGAGAGAGATTTGTAGCACATTGACCTGTACATATGATGGCTATGTGAGTAAGGCAGTCTCATTTCTTTAGTAAATTAGTGATGATGTAATGATGGTTCAAGGATGGGTGGGATTGTAATAGTAGAGTTAACTTAATATGAAATTTGTATTTGTACTACAATGCAAATAAATTACCAGCTCATTTTATGCTTCTTGCTCAATTTAAATGTGTTCCTGTGGACTGAAGCTTCAAAACGTTTCTCACTGTCAACAAAATTACATTTTAATTATGTAGTTATTCGTGGCATGAGAGGCTATCATTTGATCAAATTAGAACTGTTGACAGTAGACAGCACAAGATAAGGATGTACCTGTATGCGTGTTTATATGATGGCTACAGCAATTGTAATTATGCGTGAGAAGTTGAGTCAACGCGTGATTCTGTTTTGCATCATCATCATTGTTTATATCAAGTGCTCTGGCGGTGTGGAGGCATTAGCTTTTGAACTGACTGTTAGGTATGAGGGGAATGGAGCCAGTCCTTTTAAGGCCATTAATGCTTTTAGTGCAGTGATGAAGACGAGAGAGGAGTGAAGAGATTGAAATTTGTTTTAAACAATATCCTATTTCAGCACTCCATGAGGCATCCTATTGTTCATTGATCATATTAACTTTTAAAAGTAAATGATTACCTTTGTCAAAGTTTGAACACAGTTCTTCTATAGAAGGTTACTGTTATGAAGTGACCTTTTAATCTTGTGCATCCGTGCATTGTACATGCATGATATAACTTTGTTATTGATCGGTGCTCACTCATCTGAATTTTGATTTCCTTTTAAAGTCTTTTTAACTGCATACTTTATCAAGTGTATCATAACCATCACTTTGTTCAGTGTTTGTTTAATTCTGCCAAGATGTTTTTATTAAATATATAATTCATAATAGAAATATATGTATTATAATAATTACAATAAAATAAAAAAATTAAAATTAAACACTTTTATTTACATATAGTAGTGATATTGACTTCTATTGGAGTCCACCAACTATAAGCATTCTGTTACATGCTTCTTTAATTTAAAGAGTTGCCTGTAGCATAGTGAACCTGATGCTCCTGAGTAATCAGTTTCATTACAGTCGCTGCCTTCTGTTATAAGTTGGCATTTTTTTCCAAAGCAGTTGAGGTACTTGTCTGACCCTGACCCGTCACTTTTGAAGTAAACCAAATCAGTTGATTGGATTCGCTTTCCTAACTTCTTGTCGACAGCAAATATTTTCAGTTTGTGTTGACTGCAAATGTCTCTTGTGAAGTTCGTGATGCTTCTTCCAGTGTTGTCGGCACATTGTGTTAAAGTGCAGTTGCCTCTACTGCAGTCCATCCAATAACCTGTCCTTCTTGATGACTGCATTGCAATGGTATCGCCATCTTTGATGTATCTGTTCTTCCTGTTTAATGCGAGGTACATTACAAAGTATTGCTCCTTGCATTCGTTGTAATGCGTCAGTGCTGAAGGTGATGAACAATTGTCTTTCTGACAGTATTCACCATGGCATGCTAGATTCCAAAAGTTAGTGTCAGAAAATGGAATTGTCATCCTTGTTTCTATGGAGAGAAAAATAATAATAATACTCTGCTGTATAGTGTACAAATAGTACAAATTACCTGATCTAAATGATTTAGAGACTGTACATGTTGGAGTAGGTTTAGGAAGCTCGGTAGAGGTAGTTGTTGCTACTGTAGGAGTGGGAGTTGGAGTAGCTGTTGTGGGGAGAGGAGATGGAAGAGGGCAAGGATCATCTCCAGATTCATCTATTTCAGCTGTATAAACAAATTACAACAAATAAAAAGTGTCAGTGAATTTATTATTTTATCTCACCTTGACAGCCATAGAGCTTGTTAACTCTTAGCTTGTCTTTAAAACTAAGTCCGTGCCTTTGCCCCACTTCTTTTATGCAAGATGGGAATGGTTTGTAGATGATTTCGATTGTAGGCTTTCTTTTATCAATAGCAAAGGCTGTCTCAGGGTAATGCATGACACTTCCAAAGTCATACTTAACATCAGCTGAGTTTGGATGATTATAAGTTTGGAAATTGGTTTTTGCAGATTCCTTAATGTTGTCCCAAATGATTTTAATGTAGTTCTCTCTATCTGGGCGGGTATGTTCATGCCAAAGACCGACAGCGTGTCCCAGTTCATGAAGGGCATGTCCCACACCTCGACAAGATGATGAAATGGACACTTCTTGTACGGTTCCGACTCTGCCAATGTAACTGGAGCATCTATTATACATGATAGCACAGATAAATTTCATAATAATAATATGGTGACAAGCTTACCCATCCGTATCTGTTAGCAGCAAGTATGCAGTGGTATTTTCATCTGCTCTTTGAAATTCAAGGCATGTTTGTTGCTCCCATATTCCAATAGCTGTCAAAAATGTTTGACTAATCTCGAAGCCTAATTAATTATTATGATGATGATAAAAGTAATTATTATTACAATTTAAAATCATAGCTTACTTATATTTTCATGAAACTTAAAGTAAACTGTGCCATTAGGCCACAATGTGCCACTGTATATTGATGGATTAAGAGCAGGCTGTTTGGCAATGATGGGCAAGTCTTGCATTACCGAACGTCTCTTCCTATCTCCATGTATCAACTTAATGTCACCTTCAAAGAGGTCTCCCTCCTCACCTATAATAACAAAATCATTGATAATGATTTTTACAAAATGGGGGCGTTTAGCTTACCTGGTTCTTGAACAACGTCCCTCTGAAGTCGACTAGTTTGTTGGACTGGTAGGGAATAGACCAGAAGGTTGAAGGACAGCACGTAGACCAAGCAGGCGCGATACAGAGAGCTCATCGTGAAGGAAATAGGATAAATATACTGTATACACTAAAATCTAATGAGTTGTACAAGTTGTCTCGGCTAGTTTGTTCTGGCCGTCAATCTGCTGCTCCTTTTATACTAGCCAACAGCCTGAAGCACATCCACAACTTGCCAAACTATATATGGCTTCATATGTTTCACTTCCACTGTCACGAGCAATGAGACTGTTAAATGAAGCCTCTCAACAGAATTTGTGATAATAAGACCAGCAATATTACTTTTGCATTTTTTTAATCAAAAAAGATCACTAAGATTAATTTTAGTGATCATTTTCAGATAAAATATTACTGCTCAGAGGAACCATGCACTGATAATAGAGCTTGTTAATTGAACAACACTTGCTTGTCTACTGTTGCTCTACTAAAAACCTTTTAAGTTCAATTCCAGTCCAGTTTACAGCACTGTCTAGTCACTCTAGTATGTGAACTAAAGCATAGACACATTATGACTCAAGACTTAGCAAGTTTGGGTGGAGCTCACCATGCATGCATCGCATGCATTACATGCAAGTTTTAAAGGGGAGGGCGCTAGCACTAATATTATTAATAATGATAATAAAGGTGTGCGTGTGTACGGCTGTGTGTAGCTGCTCTCTCTGTCTTTCTTCTTGCCTGGAGTGCTTCTGATCCAATTACTGTTGCTCGTGGGTCACCAGCTCTATAGTAAGTAACCTACCTTGCAGCAATAATTGTCTGTGGATCAATTATACTCTAATCACTCTGGAATTTCCGTTTCAAAGTCTCTATCAAAGAATGATGTCAAGCATCACTCTCTTAGTACTCACTCTCCTAGCCATTACTGCAACAGCATCACAAAATTACGGTATAAATGCTATATATTTTGTAATTTATTCATGATCACCTTTAGGAGGCATAAAATCAGATGAACTGTGCATATCACCATCAGATCATTATCACAACCGAATCAAGAGAGCAGTTATTCGAGAAAGGTCAAAGATATGGGATAATGGAATTATTCCTTATGTTTTCAAAGATGGAGCATTCGGTAAGTGTTACCACACACACCCCACAATGGTACTCTATGTATACTGGTACTGCGTCAACATTAATTACCACATGGCTAAGCGTTACTATAAAGCAGTTGTGACAAGACTCTTTTAGCTTACATACTGCTTGCACTATTACGCCTCTCCAAAAGATTTGGACCCGCCAGTGTTAAAACAGAGGTGTCTGGGAGGAAATATGTATATAATTTTGTCTAGGAGATCAATAAAGACTGGTTTTAACTAGATCAACGAAGTTCTGTTTAATCTCAGAGCCACCTCCTCCTGTCTAGATTCTAATGGCAATAAGAGAAACATGCCCATCGCTCTCCAGCAATGCTTCTCTACATTAGTTGTCATATCTACAACTGTTATACATAGCTCGCTAAAAATTGACAAGTGTACCGTGTACATAGACCTAGCATTGGTGGCTTGACTATACTTGTAACTGATTGTTGATGCATATTTGGATGTGGAGGTGCATGATACCATTACTAGGCTCAACACATTCTTCCGTGTCGTAGCTTTGATACTCATTTATAGATCATTTAATAGCGCTTGCATTCCGTGGTAGGTTTCTCACGGGCAGTTGTTGTGGCAGGTGGTAATCTATAATGTTGCTCTGCTATCTAAGCATTGTAACTGGCGCTCCCCTTTTATCAGCCCCAAACCCATCCTCCAAATAAACAGCTGTTGTTATATTCTAATGCGTATTAATGCATAAACACCATTTGAGTAAACAATGAATATTGGTTGCCTGAGGTTTGCCTCCACTTAGATCAGCATTTTTATATCATTCCTCCTCCTCCAAAGGGTTGCCTTTACTCTTTGTAGTGTAAGCTTATCAGGAGACGTTCATATAGTTTTTAACTTATTATATGTAATGCATGCACACACACACACATACATACATACATACAGACATACAGACATGAACATACATACTCACTCAATCTCTCTCCCTCTCTCTCTCACACACACATTAATGTCACAGCCCCAGATGAAGTAGCTGTGATTCATCAATCAATGAACGAGTGGATGAATAATTCTTGCGTAAAATTTAAGGAAAGGACCACTGAAATGAATTATATTCTCTTCGTAAAAAAAAGTCCTTTGTAAGTCATTTTCTTAATCATAGCCAGTGAGTATTATCAAATCTCTTTTATCTCTCTAGTTGTTTCACTCGTATTGGCATGACTGGTGGGGTCCAAGAAGTCAATATTGGTATTTTCTGTTTTTACTTTCCTGGAACCATTGTACACGAGTTGGGCCATACACTTGGTCTGTTGCATGAACATGTAAGGCCAGACAGAGACAAATTCATTGAGATATTATGGGAAAATGTTGAGAGTGGCAAAGAGTTGAACTTTAAGATTGGGCCTCGAAAAGAAGTACAAAGTTTTAGCGATGACTATGACTATGGCAGTATCATGCATTATTCTTTGTACGCATTCTCCAAGAACGGGAAACCAACTATGAAACCAAAGAGACCATTCAATGGGACTATTGGGCAGAGAGATACAATAACCAACAGCGACTATCTTCAATTGCGATACCTCTATGGCTGCCAAAAATGTGAGTCTAACTGGGGGGTGGATATTCCCTTGACATTTAATTTTCCACTTCTGATAAAGTATGCAATACATTTTATTTATTGTACGATTGTTTCGTATCAAAGCAAACGGTGAAACCTATCACTTTGCAATGATCCTAAATTGATGTCATCTTGTTCGTTTCGTATTTGTCCTGTCTGAAGGATGTTTAAAATACTTGACCGACAACAAAATAGGTCTCGATATTACCTTTACTGGTCATTTGTGTTGACTTTCCTCAATTAGTTGAGCCATAATTTTGTTGTGGTTGCATCATATGTAAAGCCAGTGAGGTGGTTGGTCAGTCGGCTAGTCCTATAGACACTATAACAATTACTTTTTAACCTCTTCTGAGAGGATGTCACTCAGCTGTTAGAGTTTTTATAGTATAGTCTCCGTGCTATTAGTGGTTGCATTGTGCCAGCCTTGATGTGTAATGAATGTGTCAACTCTGTGGTTGCTATGCTAGCAATGCTTGATGTGTCTATGAATGTGTGATGGACCCAGTATTATATAATTATACATACATAGTCCAATGCCACTATAATAACTATTGTGCCCTTTATATTAGTGCATGCATGTAGTATAATGTGATGTAGCGTGTTATCATTAAATACGTTTAAGAATGCGAGCATAGTTTATTCAGAGATGTATGCTTGATTAATTAAACACTTGTTCACATGATGATTTTAAATTGCTAGCTATCGAACCATAATTATCAACAGGTGGTGTGATTATTTAATTATCAAATAATAATTGTTATAATTTTGAGCTCCCATGACCCTAAGCCTCTAAACCTGCCTACACTGTACTAACTGTATAACCCAGCCAGACAACTTAGATTTGGACAACTTCTACCTCAACAAAATAATTTGTGACAGCCTTTTCAATTTTACCTCTTAGTTTATTTTTGCTATTCATACTCTTTTAGTATCTCTTCTCTATTCCTCTTGTTTTTGTCAATCTTTCACTTTCCTTCTTTAAAAGTCCTTGTTGATGCATTATAGACAAAACTTAAAGTCATGAGTGTCAGTAAATGCAGCTTGTCAACACTTGCAATGATTCAGTTTTGTTTGTAAAGAAATATTATCCTATTGTATTTTGTCTTGTCTGAATATTTTTTTGATCTATTTCCTGATTGTCTTTCCGTTGTTGACCCACATTAACACCTAATGGTCAACAGTACACTATTATGTACAAACTTGTATACCCACACTCCCTCTGAATATCTATTAAAGATGAATGACTGAGGGTGGTTAAGCATTCCCTGCTACCTATCATGGGAAAAACAGTAAACAAACATTTAGTTGCCAAAGCAATTACTTGACATATATTGCTTACGCCTGACCTGAGCAGACTAACCCAATCATAACACACTTCCTTTTTCGTGGTCAGTCCGTTATCTTTCTTCCTTCCTTTAGATCTTCCTCCATGTAGCATCACTGAAGGAAGTGGAGAGTATTACAAGCACGTAACTCTTTCAAGCGATGATGATGGAGATGACAGAAACTGCACAGATGACCTATTACCATCTCCCTTTCCAACAGAGGAAGAGGAGACTGATACCACACCATCCACACAGCATTCATATCTCTTACTATCACAATCTGCTCCTTCCTCCCTCTATTCCCCTTTCCCTTATTCCCCTTCCAACTTACCACAGGACACTTTATCACTGACCACCATTTCAGATATCATTAACCCAACGACTACCATTCCCCATACAGCACTAACTACAAATCAAGAGCTCTTGCTAAGCATGCACTCACTGGCTGGAACACGTCATCAAAAAGAAGCCAGCTCATTATCAGCAATGCTTTCATCAGTCGACATAAACACTAATAATGTAATTATGATAAGGCCAACACTCTCAACGGTGCTTACATGTATGTCACACCCAATAATGTCATCATGCACTATGCAAGACCAGCAGACAGACCCAACAACAGCGATGCAGAAAAACACAGCAAGTTTACTATCATCAGTTTCTCATGAAATGTCCCCAACTCCAACAAATGCCATATGGAACTCTATAGCATCAGGTAAACACTGAAACTACTAGTCCTGCTATTATATAAATGGCTTCCTTATTCATAGCCCACTATATTATTGTGCTAGATAATTGGCATGTCATTCAGTGATGAAACACTGTATGCATGACATAAGACAATATTGACTCTACTTAGTTTCTATTGGTCCATAATGTTACCATTAGCACATACTCTTCATCTTTCTCTCCTTTTAGGTGATAAAGTGGCACTAAAAGTTGCTAATGCCAATAATACTTTAACGATACACTGGATGTCATGTTATCCTGAACGCTGCAGGGTCAAATGCTGTGAGAATGAGACTGAAGGCTATCCCTATTGTCCTATGTCACTCTTTACACTGGAAAAAGTATCAGAGCAGTCTTCACCATCAGAGCAGTCTTCACCATCAGAGATCCGTGTAGGTGATCTAATTGTACTAAAGCCTGACCACAATAGTAAGATGATCATCACATGCGGCAAAGGGGCATGCCGAGGGAAAACATATTGCCCAATACTGACAACAAAGAAATGCAGGAGACACCATCTTAAAATCCACTCATTGAACAAGAAAGATGGAGATCCAATTACACACAATGACACCATAGAGTTACGCTTTAACACGCTACCCAATGATTACATTGAGTGCAATGTAAACGACAGGAGATGCAAAAGACATTCATGTCATGATTGCTCAATGCGGCCAAACTTTATAATAGTCAAGTCATCATCGACATGAAGCATTCTCTTCCTCTCACTCTCTTACATTATTATACATCAGTCAGTCGGAGTTTGGTTGTTAATCACTTGTCTATACATTTCTATTTCACATATACATATATATATTATATATTATATAAATGCTCTTTGTACATGTTAAGTTTGTATTGTAGCACACCTCCTCATGTATAAATTTTTTTATCATTAATTATTACCAAATATGGAAATTTGAATCTTCGATTTTATGGTGCTCGTGCACATTTGGTATTGTACACATCTGTTGTATGTCATGCACAACTTTTCCTGGTAGGGGAATATAACTAAAGGAAATCACTAAAACTGATTCAATTCCATTACACAAATATAGTAGAGTTCCTACTGATAAGACAACTATGGTATGCAAGTGCTTTCCTTTCTGACCGTACAGTATTACCACTACTTCTAATTTGAAGTTGTAATCGTGCATTAATCCTAACCACAGCTTATCTTAATCTCAGCATTTGATTAAAATGTTTATGCTCAAGAATTTGCTACACATACCAATAAACAAAAATACTATTAGCTAGAAGTTAATCAGCCGTTGAGTCATTTGCTAAACTAAATATAAGTTTCTTTGTATCTGATCTCCATCTATTTACTCTCTCAAGAGTAGCATATTCTGTCACTGACATTGGGTCGATCTTTTTAAACTTTGAAAGACTCGAGTACTTTGCAAAGAGAAGAGCATACACTCCACAGTCATGTGCTAAAAAGAATTTCTGACTAAAAATACTTTTTAAATTAAAATGATATAGCTCACAGTTATGCTGGTGAGGAGAGGCTTCTTCTAAAAAAGGAATTTCTTTCTCCCCTCCTAATTGAAAGTGCTGGCTAAGACACAAAACAAACAAACAAACAATTACTCACTGCTTAAAAAAGGAGAAAGGCTACTGGCACATTGCCTGGCAGGTGTATGGTTGCTAGGAGAAGACGAATCATAATGAAAGTACAAGTAACTTTCTCTGTCAAAAACTAGTGTACTCCTAATGGGGTTGGATAAAAAAGGAGAGAGAGAGGGAAAGAATGAAAGAGAGAGAAAGTGTGTGGGAGAGAGAGAGTGAGCAAGGAGGAAAATCAAATAAAGATTGTAATATTAGTAGTGAAAGAGTGGGTGGATGAATGAGTGGGGAAATTATTATGAGTACAATGAGTAAGTTAATGAACAAATGAATGTGTACATGCATTGAGTGGGTGATTAATCAGTAAAAATGATTATTACTAGCGAGGGTAGTAGAATAACATGACTGATAATCAACTTGATCAAGTCCATTTGTGTTCATAGATTTTGCTTATGGTAAATTTAATGTGGCATACTTTAAAGAAGTATTTAGACTTTAGTGAACACAAGTGGACTTACATGTAATTATTAGCAATAATAATTATTAATCAACTGCTTATTTACCAATGGGAGCCCCCACTATGTTCTGATGAAGAATTGTCATTAACTGCTAGTATCACAAGTTCTTTCTCACAAAGGGATAAAGGCTCCAAAAACATCTTTAATTCTGAACCTATTAGGTAGTCCATCCTTTCACTGATTCAATAAATGAGAGAAACCATGCAGTCAAACAATGCACATATTCAACACAATAGATACCAAAATTAGATAATATCCTATCAACATTCACATTATTGTATAGCTAAGAGTATACGCTATTAGGAAGTCTGTATCATGCACTCTCTCGCATCCCTAGCCGTGATCATAAACACCTGACCTTACAGGTGACTGATGTGATTCGTGTACTAAAGGATGCACAAACACCACTATCACAAACACAACTTCCTCTTATGACAAATTGCATACACTTTTAAGGACCTACAGAGAGAGGACTGACAGGTGGTTGATCCAACATTGTTCTGGATGAAAGATTACACAGAATACACCCAACAGGTAGTGTTACTAATATAATTATAGATGAGGATGCATTGCTATCACTATCAGTCTGTTTACCATGCATGTTATCAATAAAACTCCCTTAGGTACATGTTTGGAGTACCAGTCAGCAATTTCGTGACACAACTCACACCATTACTAGTATACTCTAATACTGTGCAGAGCATGCATCATTTATTTGCTGACAAGAACCATATGTTCATACTATAAGCAGCAGTTGTGTGGTTATAATTATTATATCATACATGTAATTATGTCTGTCTGGATATTAGTTTTCATTACAAACGGTTATCAACTGACCACGGTAAAGTTTGATGAACTGAGTGACATCTGGTGTTATGAAACAAACCCTTTCACCATTCTTGACATGATCACGCTCAAGATACCTACAAGTGCATCCAGTGGCCTACACTCATGAAAACATGCACAAAATGTGTTAATAGCTGCTGACTCGAAGTAAAAGCCGATCAATCTGTCATTGAGCCAATGAGGTGGATCGAGGAGGGAGACATCAGAGAGTCTCAGTAGACTGTCATGATAACTCAATACAATCTTATCAGGATCCATTTTGTTAGGGCGTGGCTAGTTTAAAATAGGCGGGTATTTGGGCGTGTCTTTTCTAATTATGCAAAAGAAGAAAATTTTATGATATGCGGTAAGAAGAAAATGGCTGCCAAAGCGTAGTGAGAATTGGAAGGCTCTCTCGGATATATGTTAACGCTTAAGAGGCCCCTAACCCCAAGAAATACAAAGCTGTATATACAGTGTATGGCAGTGTACAGTTTAGAAGGATACAAAGTAGCTCTAAAGTAACCACTCCCACGTGATTGAAGGCACCCCCTGCCTATCCTGACAGGAAGGAAGGGAGGGTAACCTCCTCCTCCTCTAATAGCTAATGGATAAATCTGGTCCCAAGGACAATGGGTGGTCCAAGTTTGAGGAGTACGCCAAGCAAAGAGGTGAGATTGTTTGGTATGAATTGGGGACATAAAAGTAGTTCGAATTAGGTGTACTAGAGGCGTGTCTTGTTAAAGGGTTGGGTGAATGGTTTCTTTGGATATGAGTACGTAGCGTGTCCTTATGTAGTGTGTTATTGTATGAGGTGTGTTATTGGATATTAAGTGTATTAGTGAAGCTTGTTTATGTGGTTTCCTGGCACTTATGACAAACAGGCTCCTCCAGTCACTGAATCCTTACTTTTTGATGCCTTTATCCCTTAATTGATAAGCGAAAAACCTCTTTCTGGGTTGGGCATTAGATGGAACACAATGACTTGTTTTTGTTCTAGAAGTTGTGGGAGGGACAAGCGGTCTACCTGGATCCCGTAATCCTCTCTCTCCTACTGCTGGCAGACTTCACAAAGAAGGTAATTCTCCTGATAATAAACACTTAGATGTACATATATGTGCAATATGCTTGCATGTATATTCTCTCGTTTTCTCTCCCCCTCTCTTTTCCTATTCCCACTTCCTTTGTGTTCACAACTTGCTCTCCTTTCTAATCCCGATTTCCTCCTCTGCTTTCATGCTCCTCCTCTGTTTACTACTCCTTTCTTCCTCTTATTTGTTTTCCCTATCTCTCTTCATCAGATATGGCCATTTATGGTAGAGAACCTGCTACTGATAAAATGATACTTGTAGTCTGTGAATTGTGTAGGCGTGTTGTTAAAAGCCAGGCTCTTTTAAAGCATAGAGGTTTGTTTCTCCCTATTTTCCATCTCTTTTTATTCTCTCCCCTTTCTCTCTTTTATCTTTTACATATTCTTTTTTATCCTTTATGTCTATTTTTTCAGTTTTGCTTATGCTGCATATTGATTAGTTGCTTGATTTATTAGACAATGTATCCCTTTGTGATGCTCTTTTTAAGTGCTTTATTTGATATACAGTACCATAATGAGACAGACCAGTGTTTTGTCTGTTACATTTGGCTTAATGTGTTTATAGAAAACATGGCATACATTTTTTTATTTTCCCACTGAGCAATCCTGTGTGGAGCAGCATATGTCATGATTGCCATCTCATATTGTCACACATCCATACATGTATGTGCATGTACATGTACATTGTGCTGGAGGAGTAATGAGATTATCACTCATGTATTTTATCTTTCTTTAGAGCTGTATCATTCTAATGCTATAAAGAGCCCACCTCCTCCTCGTAGACCACCTGATCATGTACCAGGAGGAATGGGGCCCATACAAACTATTGGACAATCGACCTCGCTAGGACCTACTACTGTAGGATCATCAAAGAAAAGCAAAGGTATATGCACTGCAATATGGTCTCTATTAATGACTATCTGGTACTTTTTATGTGTGGCTTAGCCCCACCCACAGCCACGCCCATTTCAAATTATTGTTTTAGTAGTAAATATAATTCCTATTTTTGCTTGGCTAAAAAGCTTTTATTTAAAGTTTGAGACACAATAGTTTGATAATGAAAAAAGGCAGAGTGTTGATTGCATCATAACACAAAAGACTAAAGAGATGCTTATGTATATGTAGAAGGCACATACTTTTCAGTACTGTGTCATTAACGAAATTAAAGCTTGAGGAGTTTTATTGATACATGGATTGGATGGTTTTCATGCCTAGGATTTTGATGAAATTGAGCAATTTACAATGCAGGTGGTATTTCTTTGATTACCTGGAATTGTACATTGTTCCCTAATATCCTTATTTGTTCTTTGTAGATAAAATAATGTGCATACATGTATATACACATGTACATGTACATTCATGCATCCTAATTCCATTTGTACTGTCATGGCGATCATAATAGCTAATAGTTGCCCTTGTACCTTGTAATTGACTCCATGTGTGTACATGTACATGTACATGTATGTGCTGTATGTTACTATAATGTTACTGGGTAATCACAATACATGCTTACGTACAGGTGTAATTCAATATATCTATTCTAATTGTGGGTGATATTTTGATCATATTACTAAAGACATGCATGATATTTAGCTAAATGATTTAGGCTCTATTTGTGTATGCTTCTACATGTACATGGTGTGTATGGTTGAATGATCTAGTATGTGATTCTATTAGTGAACTCTCTTCCTTCTTTCCTTATAGAATGTGATCTGGATAGACACTGTGGTGTTTGGATTGAGTCTGATAAGAGATTATGTAGGAAATCTATCACTTGCAAGGTATGATAATCAATGATGATGAATTGCTAGCAAGTAATAATAATATCAATTACAAGTAATAATAGCTAACTGTTTTTGTGTTGTTTTTGCTCCTTTAATAATCATATACAATGGCTTTGTTATTTTCTTTGTTAATAGTTAGTGGAAATTATGTATAGTTGAATGTGTTTCATGGACTGTATGTGTAGTAAATCTAGTAATAGATTACTATTGTTTGTTTACTTGTAGTAATTCTGTACTATTATTAATCAATTGTCTAGAGAAGGGGAGAGAGAGAGAGAGAGAGAGAGAGAGAGAGAGAGAGAGAGAGAGAGAGAGAGAGAGAGGGTGGGAGGGAGGGAGGGAGGGTGGGAGGGAGGGAGGGAGAGATGAATGATGACTAGGGAAGGGGAGAGAGCCAGAGAAAGGAGTACAAGTGAAGGTTTACAATTTAATAAAATGAGAGGTGGTGATTGAAAGGTATGCTTTGAATGTTTGTGTAGCCATATATCAAGCTAAATTAGCTAATCAAGGATTCTAATTTCTGCTGATGCTGTCTGCATTAGTTTATCTTTCAATTTCCTGAGTAATATTATACGCTCTTAGTCATGTTGCTATTTTTAGTTTGATTATGTTACCATTGCCAAAGTGCGTATTCATTACACACTTAACTTTACCAACTGTAGAGTTGACAAGCACATATTGTGAACTCTGTTACCTTGTAGACCTATCCATGTGCATACATGAACCTGTTTTGGCAGTATTTTATGATTGCATGTACATGTACATGTTTTGACTCTTTGTACTGATACATGTGTGACCTTTTGTCATTGGGTTAAATAGGTTCAGCTTCATTCTTAAGTCATACGTACATACATGTACATGTACTCATGTGCAATTGTTTGATTCTGAGCTCACAATAAATGGATTTTATTATACAGAAGAGAAGGAGTGCCCAGGGACTGTCCCAGCCTAAAATAATTTTATCATAGACAGTGTAAAGGTCACCTTGGTTCAGGACATAACTTATATTTAAAATCATTTGTGGTATGAGACCCTCTTCCCTATAGCTTTACCAATATGTCACACCTGGAAATAATTTGATAGCTCCGAGTGCTAATGAATGTATTAATTAAAGTGAAATCTAGTAATTTTAGTAATAATAATTATGTGCATGCACATGTACATGTACATGTACATGTGTATGTAATGTATTTATACTGTATGTGAAGAGGTACTCAGTTCATGTAACAGCATTCCTTAGCTCCTTAAGCCTTCCATTACCTACCATATAGACTTGACTCAACTTCCTTGAGTTTATGTACTGTTATAGTGATTGATGGATGATGTAATATCTTTCCTGTATGTCTATATGTACTTCAGGGAAACTACAGTAGGAGCCTAATCTAAACTCTAGCAATTGAAAGTGTCCTTATATTCACTGTTTCATTATTGTCAGTGACACTTGCAAGCTTCAACTTATTGATATAAACAATAAACAAAACCTGCATTCATTTAGTTTACATGTATATGTACATGTGCATGCATTACTGTGAGATTGTTATTCACTATCCTTAGGGATACTTTAAATATTATGAATAGTAGCAGCTGTGATTACTAGTGGGTCAGTGGGTGTAACTCCACTTTAAAATGGCATTTGTTTGGCTTTAGTTTATGTAGCGCTATACTATACTATAGCTAGAGTGAATTGCATAATGTAGCCTAATTATTTAATATTTTAAATACTAACATTTACTCCTCTCTTTTTCCTACTGACTAAATTGCATGCATTCTCATTAATCATCATTCCTTCTCAATTGTGTTGTGCAAATATTTTTCTGAAATTTCCAGATTACATTGTCCATGTACATGTACATGTATATGTAAATCTGCTGCCACCTTGTTGATGTCGCACTCTGTACTTGTAGTCTGTTCTGCTAATTCCCAATAAAGCTATTTTGTCAAAGTTTATGAATAAGGAGTGTCATATGGGGATATGTCACTTACTGCTTTGTTGTCCTTACTAATAATCCCACTTCTCTGTAGAGAAATGTACAAGTACATGTATGGCTAAATTAAGGGAAGCGTATAATGGTATATGGAAATTATTTGTCGTGGTGAATTTCTTTCAAGTTGTACATGTAAGCTTTCTGGTGTTTCCCAGCCTTTTTTAGGCTAGGGGCATCCACTTAAAGTTACATAATGTATGGTAATGGACATAACTTGTTTATATACCATTAATCTACTCAAAGAAATGAAAGTGCCGCTAAAGTAATTGGTATTTTAAAGCAACTCATGATGATAGCTATACTGTATTATGCCTTTTTGTTTGTCTTGCTGGTGTGTTATATATATAGCTCATTGAGAAGTTTGTGTCATTTTGTGCTGTTAATGTTGGGTTTGTTGTGTGTGAAATATGATGGTTGTGTGTTTAGCTAGACCATGTTACTGGTACAGTTTTTATACAACACAAACGCAAGCCAACAATTATCAAATTTGTCAATATACATGCCACCATTCAGTGCATACTATGTACATGTGTTAAATGCCAGCAGGTAATTGTGTATATTGTCAGCATTTTAATTATTGTCTATCTTAATGTGTTTTAGGATGGCATGCAAATTAGCATGGGCTATTACAAATTATTGGGTCTAAGGGATACTATTGTAACACTCCCTTTTGTAATTATACATGTATATGTTGTATATGGAATGTAAATCAGCTAGATATTATTATTATTATTATTATTATTATTATTATTATTATTATTATTATTATTATTATTATTATTATTATTACAATTGTAAGTTTTTAAAATGTATGATTTAATCCTCAGAATAAGGATTTGTTGATTAGTGATTGTTTTATGTTATTTTACAGATTCATTCGTTAGAACTGAGACAGAAAGTAAGAGGAAGGTCGAAACCTTTTGCTGATTTACTCCACGAGTACAAGAGGCAAAAGAAGATTAAAAAGATGCAGAAACGTCCAGGAGGAGTTCTCCCCTCTAGCGCTCTCCTCCCTCCTCCTCTCCCTCCCTCTCCCGCCCCCTCTTCAATAGTACCCTCTTCACCTGTTGGTTCATCCACCTCTCCTGTTCTCCATCCTCCTCCTCCTCCTCTATCAACTGGAGCACCAGCCAGTCCTCTCTCTTCATCATTGTTAGTCTATTTGGATGAGTCTGATACTGAGGAGTATGGTATTGCTACTGATGTCCCTCAGAGGCAGCAGTTACTATCATCCTCTGATCCTCCTCCTCCTGGTCCTCCTCCTAGTGTACTCTCTGAAGCACAACTCTATCCAAAGCCAGGAGCTGTAAGTACATGTACAGTATATACATGTAGTTTATCATTTATTGTTTGTTTTGTGTCCCTTTCACAAAGGGAGCAAGGGTTGCCTTCTTTCCCCCTTTGGTTGTACTGTAGTTTAATTCTCCTCTTTTAAATGTACTAGTGTGATGTACATGTACGTCTATAGAATATCGGTTTTATAATTTTAGCATTTAATTTAATATGCAGAATCCTGTAGATATTTATATGTACATGTGATTTAAATATTTTTACCCCCTCCCTTAGATGAAGCCTTTGATACATGTACACATTGAAGGTGTTAACTGTACATATTTACATCCTTGTGTGCTTATTTGTGTTGGCCCTATGCCTCTGTGTTTGTTTGTGTGAAAGTATTCTATAATGTAATTCTATATGCACATACATGTACATGTTTATGTACTTTATTAATACTTCTTATTGTTTCATCTGTATTTGTAGAGTCTATAGGGATTTTCTGTAAATACTACATTACCTCATAATTGCATAATGTACATGTACATATGTACATACTCTTTTATTGTGGCAGTAATTGTAATTAGGACTGTTAATTTAAATGAATATGTACATGTAGTTATGTACATGTACATTTGTACGTCTATAATTGATGTCTATATGCATTCCTTCGTTATTTATTGTGTTGTGTTTGTGTGTGTGCGTAGAATCTCTTCACACGATATCTGAAGCTGTTGACAAGTTGAGCTAACTTTTATGTCGCGTAACCTTGTCTCCTCATTAGCTTTGTGTCTGCCTGTCTGGTATGTGCGGGTAATATAATGCAACCTTTCCTGTTTGCCAGCTAACTGATATCATCATCGTGTTAATTCTAATATTAAAACTCCGTTGATATTATTATTTATATTACTAAATATGTTTTCTCACTGTTTATGTAGGCGAGCCTAAGCAAGCCACATATTAACGACCCAGCAAATATTTTATTTGTCTGAGTGTACATGTACGGTACGTGTGTGTGTGTATGTGTGTGGTTAATGAAAAAGATTAAAAGAGATAAAGAATTAATGTATCAAGCTTGAGCTAAGCAAGCAACTACTGCATTACTGGAAGCTTTCTTTATAATACTTTAGCATTGATTTTGTCAAAGTATGTACATGTACATGTAGTTACATGTACATGTACAAACTACATGTACGTGTATGTCAAATGTCTTGCTTGGGCTCTGCTGATTAATTTATGATATTTGATTCATTGTAATCCTTATACATGCAAAAGTTTAGAAGGGGAAATCCTCCCTACTTTAATTCTCCCCTCCCTAAAGTACATGTAGTTTAATAACAGGGTTAGTACAGTACTTGCTGGAATTAACTGCTGTTCATTATAAAGGCACACAATTGAAATCAACAAGTCCTAATGTGTATAACAGCTCATGCCTGCACCAGCAAAATTAGCTTTTGCTACAAAATCACAAAATAAAATTTCCAAAAACTATGCAATGTTATCGTCATGCCCCTCCCTCCCTTTGAAAAACTCCTACATGTGTATATACATGTATGAATCTCTGACATGTTTAAACTCATTGCTTAATCTACCAGACACTATAAGCATATCCAGCAATGGACCATAGCAAGATACAAGTATTTTTGTGATCCAAAATATTTACAAATTCATCCAGATTTTAATTTACTATTTTTTAGCCACGTTGCACCTGTATTTAATCAATTTTGAAGTTTTGATTTTTAGCAAATTTTCAAAAATACTGAAATTTGTTTAAAATTTTTGTGTTTACGAAAGTTCTTATGGTACATGTACGTACATGTATGATACGTGATTTCGTGATATTGTGCAACATCAAGTAATTAATCAACAATTTATTGTTGGAATAACAATGAAGCAATGTTGTTGTTGCTGATGATGTTCGGCATGGAAAGATTGAGATGCTAGAAGGCCTCCCAGGCAACTCGACATTGCTAGTAACACACAATGTAGACTATCCTTTTTTGTATGTACAGTACATGTTAAATGCACATGTACATGTACAATTTACATCTAACACACATACTTTGTTCATGTCCATGTGTATGTATGTACATGGACTGTTAGATCTAGAGGATATTTAAGAGACATTTGGTCTCTCATATTTGGTTTATATATTTTGAATTCTCCCATTTCTTAGCTTTTGGTCTCTTATGTATTGAGCCTATAGGTCTAAGGTCTCCCAATTTTAGTTTTCCAAGATATTTTAACAGTGCCTATACAAAACATGTAGTTTATGCATTTTTAGTTTGGGTAGATTTTGCTCATATTAATAATTATGACAAATTAATTATTACATGTACAGTACTGCATATGGTATAATACATGCATGTGCATGTGCATTTACATGTTGCTTTAGGTTTTATTCCAATCCCAAAAACCTTGTAATAATACCTCTTTAGTCACTGTAATGTAACTACTGATTAATATAAACTATTTAAAATTAATTCCTTGCATGCTACACCTTAAAATTTTTACTGGAATAAACTTGTATATTCTTTATAAGGGCATTATGCATAAAGGTATTGTATTAATGAATTTATATTAATTGACTTTTCACCTATTCATTATTACATGTATAGATATAATTTTCAAGTGCTGTTAGTTACAATTATAGCATTGTATGCATCTACTCTTCCTGCTACTAATGTGTATATGGTCATGTATACTGCATTAGTCAATCATTAGTGATATATCCAGACCCAATTTGGGCAGTTTTTAAACATCCCTGCTTATGTTGCCTAGCATATCATCATGTACAGTACTGTAGTGGATACATGTATCTTGATATAGTCCAACATATTGAAGAGTTTCTTAGCAAATACTACATTGTAGGAGTAGCAGGCGCCATTACATAATAATGATTATTATACACAAGTTTTGTTTAAAGATTTTGCTAGTAATTCTTTGTAACGTAATGTGCAAGTTTTTGTGATGTAAAACTGGATGCACCAGTCACATATTCAGTACTGTATAGTTGGTAATTTTGGAAGGGGAAAATTTTTGGCAAAATAATTGCTAATTTTTATGATTGGTACCTGTAGGTTTTAATTTGGTAAATTTAATTGTGACCATGTGCCATTGAGTATTAAGTATATGATGAAGGTTATCATGTCAAGTACATGTACATGTACTGTTTTTATCATGCTGCATACTTACTCTCTACATGATAGTTATTTATCAGTAAAGGTAATAATGATTAAGGGATGTGATAACACTTGTAATTTCCGTAGTGCATGCGTTATTTGTGTCTGGAGTTAACTGTTACAATTGTCTAGTGAAATACACATGTACATGTACATGTATATCTCATCGTTATTTACAATTACAACATGTACATGTACACGAGTTGTACTTTGTTCAGTTGCTAATTTCTTTAGTTGTTAATTTCTATGGCTTTTGTTTACCTTGTGCAACATGGCGACTTCCTGTCATGTGTATACTGTTAACGATCGTTGTAATTCACACCAGATAATTAGCACATCAGCATAATTATTTATAGCAAATATTACTGAGCCTAAATGGCTGTATATTGAGTCTAATGTATTAGTAATTTAGTATACTGTATCAGGTTTTCCCACATGCATGCTACGTGTTAATGATCTAAGCAGCATGCTTCATGAGCTGACTAACACTACATGGCATTTTGAGCACCTTTAAAATTTCATAAAAAATCCAAATGTAATTAGAATCAGCTCAAAGTTGATACACCACTTAATGACTTGTATATATAGATCAGAAAAAATTATTAAATGAAGAATTCTTCATTGCTATTTTTTGCTAAAGTTTGGTGAAAGTCCCTGTACTATAATAGTACAGGGTGTTTGGCCTGGTTTTGGGACAACTTTTAAAATTAATTTTAAAATCCAAATTTGATCGAAACCAGCTCAAAGTTGATATACAACATAAGGACATGTGTATGTATCAGAAAAAAATATAAAAATAAAGAATTCTCTCTTAGTCATTTTTGGTGAAATTTGGCCAATGTCCCTGTACTATAGTACAGGGTGTTTGGCTGGATTTTTGAGCAACTTACTGTATTTTATAAAAATCCAAATTTGATTGGAATCAGCTAAAATTTTCTGTGCAATACAATAACATGGACACATGTACATGTATTGGAAAAAATTATTAAAATGGAGGATTCTCTCTTTGTGATTTTTGCTGAAATACCCTGTACTATGCTAAATTATAGTACAGGGTGTCTGACCCAATTTTTGAGCAATTTGACAATCCATTGACAAGAAGCTGCATGAGCACTATACCAAAACCCTTTGGAAAACCCTGTACTGTACATCTGGGGAAATTTTAAGGATTAAAAATTTTAAAGAATAAATGTTACTCTTGAAGATGTACATGTATTTAATTGGGGTATTTTTTAGTGCACATGTACGGTACATGTACATGTACATGGACATGTATTTAATTGGGGTATTTTTAGTGTACATGTGTACATGTACATGTACGTGTAGTTGTGTACACTAGACAGTGTATTTATCTTTGTTTATCTTTTTCTTCCATCTCCTCTTTTATTCCCCTTTGCCTCCTTTTAGACAAACAAGTTTGGTTCTCGTTTCCTGAGTCAAGGTTGTCTTTCATTTTCTCGCCGAGCCGATCCTCTTCGCTACTCATTAATTGCTCTCTCAGAGCAAGAAAAAGAGTTCATTCACACTCCTGATTCAACAATACTTAGGTAAGAGCAAAATCACTATGACATTGAATATTAGTAGTGAAAAATAACAAATATTCTTATTAAGTCCATTTTTTAATTGCATGAATTAATTTTAGCAAATTTATCAAGGTATCTTTAAAATGCTAAATTAAAGTGTTCACATACATGTAGTTCAATAATAACATTGTATAGTGGGTTTTTTCAAGGATAACAGGTTTCGCAAATTTCACAGATTTTTTAAGATTCGTAAAATTTAATTTCTTGAAAATTAATTTAATACTGTACACGATGGCAAATTAGCAGAACTTTGCTAAAATTAATTTCGTGAATTTCCAGATATTGGTCATTTGTGAAAATTATTATCCTCGAAAAACCCACTATACGGTAATAATAGAACCAGTACACTTAAATGTAAAGTACATTTAAGTACCGTAGGGCGCCTTTTTTTTAGAGCTATAGGTTTTGCGGATTTAATTTTTGTGAATTTATGCCGTCAGCCATCTTGTACTGTATTAATTGGATTTTTGCAGAAGTAATTTTCGCAAATCTTAAAGAAAATTACGAAATCCATGAAATTTACAGCCCTAAAAAGCGCCCTACAGTACGTACAGTACCATTACAAATAAATGTAGACTTGATGTACATGTACATGTACAGTACATATCAAAAAAAAGGCTAAGTAGCTACCCCGCAGTTACTCTACTTTTGCGTAGGTAGTTCGTTGCTCCTTCTCTGCGCATGCTTACCGTGACAGTAGCAGGACAGTAGCGCGACAGTAGAAGACAGTAGCGTGACAGTAGAAGACAGTAGTGTGACAGTAGAAGACAGTAGCGTGACAGTAGAATCGAGCAAAAACATCCTAAACAGGCTTCTAGAAGGAGAGAGTGGCATTATAGATGAACTTGGAGAGCACAGACAGCCAAAGAAGCATCCACAAGTTCTACTACAGTACATGTGATGGGGTAGGATCGCAGCATAACGCAGCAAAGAGTAATGAAGAGTAGCGAAGTAGTAGCGAAGTACCTACGAACTACCTTCAAGGTTCTCTTCTCTACTGTACCCTACTTAGCCTTTTTTTTATGTGTACTGTATGTCATACAAGTACATATAGTCATAATAGTTGTTGAGTTTGGAGTGTTACGCAAATGCTTGTAATTGCCATTTCACTTTAACCTGGCACTTTGACAACTTTGACACAAACATGGAACAGGTTTCAATGTGTGACCATTGCTAGATTGCAAGCTTTTCTTTATTGCCTTGCAAAGGTCAAAGCAAAGCTGTGACTTGTACACATTTTGTTCCGGAATTATCACTCCACTGTTGGATGCCCAAAAAAGGGATAAAATGGTATTGCTACCATTAGAAGCATAATGTTTATAATAATTATAATGTGCCAGACTAGTACTCCACACAAAAAAACGAAATTAACTTGGCAGAAATAAGAAAAACTGAAGATGAATTTTCTGAAATTACTTAACTATTGGAAATTACACGTTTAAGCTAATCCGATTTTTATAGTGACTCATAATAAATACTAAAAATTAAGATTGGTTTTAATTGGTGTTGCCAATTTTTGCACCATGTAATTGATATTTTATGAGATAGTCTCAGTAGTATGGTGAATTGATGAATTGAAATTTTAAAAACATCTAATTTCAAATATTTAGATTTAGGCTAGCTCAGAAATTATTAAGCCCTAATGATACTACATCAAATATCAATTACTGCGTGAAGATTTATTCATACTGTATGTACAAATGTATATTTTTCAATTTTTCTTGATTCAGTCATTCACTGTGAAAAATTGAAAATTTATTATTACCTTTTAAATATGATCACTTGTAAAAATTTTTCCAAAAGTGGAATTAGTGGATTTTTGTAAATTTTAGATTTGTACATGTGTACATCATTTGCCTCCAACATGTGCATTTTTACCATTTTTAGGAATTTTTTAAATTAACGTTTTGCTTAATTTTTGTGGAAACAATAATTATGGGATTTAATGTTGCATTTAATAATTGTAACATGGGCTTTGATATGAATTTTTCACAATTTTTGTTAAAGTCAATTACTCAATTGGAAAATTTGCTCGTACCTTGAAAATTATCAGATACATAGACTTTTCCTATCATGTACTTAGATGTATTATGTTGTAGCTACAGCCTACACACATGTATATAAATACTCCTAAGCTCACAATTTTACATCTGTTCTTTCAAAGGTATGATTATGTATAAACTATTGAAGTACTTTTTAAGTTAAAAGAATTTTTTAATGCGACAAGAAATGTATTTATTATTCTCTGACCTAAACCTTTATAATTACGTGTATAGTTAAATGACAATAATTATTATGATCTTGATTAACTAGATTATTGCTATTTCTAGGCAATGTAATCATTTAAGTCAACAGAGACATGTCGTTAAGAAATATTTGCACATCGGAAGACAAAATCATGTAATATCATCGTATACCAGGCGACTTGATCAACCATCACCATCCACCACAACTTCCTCCTCTTCCATCTCTCTCTCAACCGGGATCACTACTGACCACACCTCTACTATTAGCACACCCACACTGGATAAGTGGAACCAATTCTCTCATTCCTCGAGTTTAAACGAGATTGGTACCAGCACGGGGCATGCCCTCACGCACCAACCCACACTGAACAGGAAGAGAAGTCGTGCTAGTTCGTCTGTGATTAGCAGTGGAAGAGGGACACTCTCAACAGCTAATAGTGTAAATACTATCAATAATATTGAATTAGGACACTCGTTTGATGATAATGGTGACAATGATGATGATGTGGAGAGAGTAAAGAGACCTAATTTATCAAGAGTGAAGAGAGAAGAGGATAAAATATCGCCGAGTAAATTAATCGAGCAACAGCAATATCTAATGAAAATGGTAATTTTGCAATAAAATTATTATAAAAATTATACATAAATTATACTTTCTTTTTCATGTGATAATTATTAATTATTATTAATTATACTCATAATTACAGGGTTTTACTCCTCCTCCAACAATGAATGGTATAGCCAGTTCACCAGTACAGCCATTCCCGGTGATTGCTGGAGCTCATTCACCATCAACTTCTTCAGGAGCAACTTTTGTTATCAACCCTTCGCATAACATTCTACCCAGATCAATGCTACCCATTAGTGGTATGTGTATTATGATCATGATACATGTAATAATGATAATGATAATGATGATAATGATAATTAATTAATCTGTGCAGGTTTTTTTCTTTATAATAATGTTATTAATAATAATAATAAATAGTGATATAATTTAGAAGCTGTGATCTAATTATTGTTATCAAGCAAGTATAATGACAGTTATGACACAATTTTTTTTGGCTACCAATACAACTACTAATGATTTTGTTATTATTGTAGTGAGTGAGATTACCTTAAATAGACAAATTCTGGCAAATGACCTTTGTAATTTTTTTTGTGGTGCCTGTGTAATACATGTACATGTATATTATTGAGAAAAGGGACTGCTCTATTACTACATGTACATGTATGTAGTAACTAATTATTGATAAAGATTGATAACACCATTTATGATGTTGTGGTTATAACTTTTAATTATTTTATTAAAATACATTTCCATCTCTAATAGGTTTTGGTGTGCCTAGCCCATCAACACAGTCTGCATTCTCTCCAGTAGTGGGAGGAGAGAGAGGACTGGCTCATTTCCCTTCAACAACTGAGCCTCATCAGCAGTTACTAGGAGGGCCTGGAGGCGGAGGAGGACAGCAGCAGCGTCATCAGTTGTGGGTGAATAGCCAGCACCAACAGATGATGAATTATGAATCCAATTCATACCATCACCATCCACCCCACTCACACTCTCCCCACTCTCTCCTCTCTCACCATCCTGCCTCTGATAGTCTCTCTAATAACAACACTAACGATCATTTAATAGATTATCAATCACCTTCATTGCCTCACATGAACAAGTTTAGCCTTCCACCTCCCGCTGGTGTACCTCCGTCACAGCAACAGTCGCAGGGATTGGCACACCAGCTAGTTCCTGGGTCTCTTCCGCCGCCTCTTAATCCTGTGGGAGGAGTTGGTATTAATTCTACGTCTCCTCCTCGACTTCATCGTCTTGCTCCCTCTGGAGGATCCGGGGGAGGCGGGGGAGGCTCGCAGAATCACCATTCTTATCATCAGTCGGGATTGGTAGCGTCTCAGAATGTAACACAAAGAACACAACAGGTGTCATAATGCACTCTTTCTCATGCTCTCTCTCTTCTCTCACACATACCTCCTCTCTCCCTTTCCCTCTTTAACTACATATTATTATGGGTTACACGTTAAATTACAATCATTTTCTTCTGTCTCTTATGTTTTCTTCTCTTCATATTCAAGATCCCTCTTTGACTATGATATTATTGTTATTATTATTATTATTATTATATATTATATGATACATGTTTTCTGCATCTTGCTGGTTCCTAGCTGGCTAGCACACGAGAATACTATCACCTTTCTCTCTTTTTTTAGAATATTTTCTATTTCTAAGCAATACACGTGTCTAATTTTGTCTCTCAATCTTTCTCTCTCTTTCTCTTTCACTAGCTCATTGTCTTTATTTATTGTATACTTTTATGACAAAAACACTTTATTTGATATGAAAATGAATAATTTACTATCAACATCGCCTACACAGCCCAATGCTCAACCCATTTTTGGTAATGCATATACAGTATTAAACTCTATGAGCTGAAGCAGGAAACAATTTCTGTTCCCATCTTCATCATGTACTACTCAATGTGGCTGCTCTTTCTGTGTGTCACTGAACTATCCATGGTCACTGCCACTGCTAGTAAGTTTCTGTTGTATTGTCCAGGTATGATAATTTATTTTTAGTGACTCAACCAGTTACTTCATCTTCTGTGAATCCAACACTATCCGTTACTAATACCAATGTAGTATCTTTGCAGACTTCAGCTCAAAAACCATCCAATACAAATACTCCAGCCCCTTTTACTACTCCAGTACCTTCCAATTCTTTATTATCTTCTACTAGTTCAGTGCCTTCTATTCCAATACCATCTAGCACTCCTCAACTCCCTATTCTTGGTTCAATTCGAGCTAGTGTTTCTCCTAGGTTCATTACATTTAAATGGTCTGCAACTTTTAATGGCGTCAATAGTTCGTCTTATAATTTTGTTATAAGCACAGACGTAACACCTTCCACTTCCACTGGAGGTACTGTGTCTCTCAGAATAGTCTCTGGTTCTACAAGGAGTCTAGTTCTTGGGCCACACACCCACAAATCAGTTGTTCTTATGAGCATAGCATTATGTGAATCAGGTAATTCCTTTGCTCTAGCAACAAAATGTATTGAGGATGACACAAGGAGAAGATCAGTTACTGTTATTCATCCAGGTAGCAATAAACAACTAATTGATACTGATATTGTAGAACTTAATATAATTAACAAACCTAAATTGATTGGATTAATAATTAATTATGGACATGTGGTTTTCTTTATTAGAATGCAGTCTAGACTGCACCTATCCTAATGGAATACAGAGTTTGGACTGCACGGAGTGCATATGCAGGACAACAGCATATGTAGGGCAACACTGCAATAGTAAATAAGATTAAATTGCATAACGTTACATAATATTTATGTGTTGTGCATACACTTGTACAGGACCAACCTTTTCACCATCAATAACTTCAGCTATCATGAGGGACAATGGTACAGTGCTAATGTCATGGAACTTTGCATACCGTGATGTGTCTGTGGATCAGTTCTTCATATCAGTGAATAATACAATGACAGGGAGAAGAGTACAGGCACATTATCTTCAAAACTCAACACGAAGAAAGTTAGTTACTAATAACTAGATATTATTATTATTGCAAGACGTAATAATTTTTTTCAGTTGGACTCTAAAGTCACTTGCTGCTGACAACTATTACACATTACAAGTATCTGTCATGTCTGGAAATATCACAGTTCCATCGGAACCTTTTGAAGTGTTTATACCTCAAAGTAACTAATTATAATGTACACCTATAATTACTTTACATATAATTTTATAGATAATAGCTCTGAAAAGCAACTTCAATCTAATGCTGGATACGTAGTTGCAATTGGGGTCACAGTTAGTGTTTCATTAGCAATACTAATGATAGGAATCATTTGCACAGTGCTAATTATGAAATGCTGGTATCATTCAAAGGCAAGGAATGAACAAGGAGCTGAAGGTGATATAAATCCGCCAGTGCAGGTGGAACATGTACAGACAAACCTTGAAGAGTCAGTGCAACTCAATTTTAATCCTGCATACACTGCCATGGAGATACAACATGATAACAATAGGCATGTTGGACGTACACGCACTAATAGGGTACCTAATGGAGGAGAAGTACAGGATCGTTTATACGAGTCATTCCATTCAACAGGATCAACTCTGTTCTATGACTATGTATCAACAACTGAAAGAATTTAAAATAACAAGAATTTTATGTAGTGCTTCAGAGACCCATTAATTATTTTTTAAATGTGTCTTTCATTAATTAATCCTCAGGTTAAACCATTATGTTCTCTGGGCTCAAATTGGAGGAGGAATTAAGTGAAGAAAAGAAAAGGAGGGTAGTGATATTGAAGTTCATAAAGTGAATGAAGAGAAATAGAGAGACAGGAAGGTTATTATCATTTTAGTTTTTGAGCTAAGGTATATCATAATAGCAAGATGTTTTTGTGGCCAAAAAAATTTTTAAATCAGTCCAAAAACAAATTTGTGGCTTTAATTTTCTCAATTTTCTATTTTTGGTCCCAATAAAATTTTCAACTTTTTAAAAATTGGGGGTAATTTTGGAGCCAATTTTTGGAAAAACCATACACTATATAGCTTTGGGTATTTCTTAAAAATTGGTCTGTTTCCTAAAATGCTCATAACTCAAAAATATTTGTCGGAATATATAACATGATGACATCAATGTGTATCAGAAAATATAATTAAATTTTGGGATTATTTTGGAGCCAATTTTTAAAGAAACCATGCTCATATTTTAAAATTCAGTCAGAAACAGCCCAATCATTCTACAAACATTCTATAATACTGTATTGTACATATATATAGTGTATAAGGTATTAGCATACATGTATTATGTACAATGTATTAATGTATTTTATGGATGTGAACATGTATAAGTCATTTCCATGGTATCAGAAAGTGAATAAGAATTTTTTAAAATTGGTTAGAAATTGAAATTGTCATATTTTAGAGAACCAAACTTAAAACTTTAAGGCTAACTTTCTATATAGCATAGAGACATGAATTACATCAATCAAAATTGAGAGTTATTTGTTATAGCCCATTTTAGTCTTAAAAATTTATTATGACAGTCAGAATCAGTTTAAGCTTTCTAAGGATATCAATATCAGATAATTTAATGGTGTTTTAAAATTCACTTTTGGAAAAAAGCATAGACTATTAAAGCTAATGGTACTTTTAAAAATTAGCACATTTTAAAATGGACATAACTAAAAATATTGTGCTGGCTGTTGAACATGACAGTAAAGGACCAGGCAGAAAAGTGATAACTCCTGATTTACATTCAAGTACATCCAGTTGACTTTGCTGGTACACAGTTCTTTATAGCTTGCTTGTGCATCATTTAGTTGATGCTATTTGTACTTATACATGCATGCTTATCCAGTTTCTGTTGTTGTGCAGATTCAGCTCAGTTGATAGCTTGCTAGTACATTGATCCATTTTATACATTGGTGCATGGATAATTTAAATCATAGTAAAATTCATTATCATTGTGAATGGCATTGTTGTGTGCACATGCGTCAAGGGTGATTGACACACCCAATTACACACAGCAAATAATGTGGTCAACTCTTCTCTTACTCTTTTGTCTTGCTGCATTAAGTGGAACAGTAGCTCCAATATGCAGTGAAGGTAGTGAAACTGATTGTTCTCTTAATGGAGTATGCAATAATGAAGGAGTGTGTGTATGTGATCCTGGATGGAAAGGAGATAAGTGTAATCAGTTAAAATTGAAGCCACCAAGCAGATTAGAGCCACACGGTTACTTCAATGGTAGCATGCCAACATGGGGAGGAGATGTCATCTATGAGAATGGTATATACCATGCATTCCTCACTGCTAAAGGATACAATACTCCACCATATGATGAATCTGATAGATATGTATGCAACACTGCCATCATTCGTCTGGAGGGAAAGTCACCAGCAGGTCCATTTGAATTTGCTGAAGTTGTCCTACCTGTATATCATCATGAGACTCATGCTATTAGAGCGCCTGATGGTACTGTACTTATATACATGATCAAATATGATGGCGGTCCTATGCCTGGCCTTTTGTCAGACTTGTGTT